TTCAGTCTATGAAATTTGTCAATAAATCAAATGGGAAAAAGACAGTTCCTCCATGTGTAAAAAATTGGATCACCACACTTAAATCATTTAAATACTTGTGGTCCAAGTTACAGAGTAATAATTTTAAATTTTTTTTAACAAGGCATGTAAATCAAGACCCCCTTGAGTGTTTATTTGGAAGTGTGCGGAGTCATGGTATACGAAACACAAAACCAGATTGTTATCAATTCCATTGTTCACTTAAAACTTTACTAATTAACAACTTCACATCAATTAAGTCAGCAGGCAATTGTGAGCATGATGAAAGTGGTGGGGCTTTAGATAACTTAAAGCAGTTTGTTGAAAGTGGCCTGACTTTACCCAAGTTTCCTAAATCTGCCCATGAAAACGAATTTAATTTGCCTATTTATAACTCAATAGAAACAGTATATGACATTCATGTGTCACCCATTTCTGAAATGACCATAGGGTATGTTAGTGGTTATTTGGCACGAAGTGTACTAAAAGAATTCAAATTTTGTAAATTATGTAAATTTGAATTAACAAGTATTGATAAAAATAATCCTTTAATCCGAATAAGAGACTTAACTCAAAAGTCTCTAATGCATCCCAGTAAAAAATTCCAACAACTAATTGAACAGATGCTTTTTATGACCAATTACATTTTGCCAAAATTAAATCAGTATCATATAGGACAACAATTAATATTAATGTTTGAAAGTATTGATTTTCCTTTACACTGCCCAAAACATAATTTAAAAATTTTTATATATCAAAAAATAAAAAACTTATTTATTTTTACTTACGTGAAAAATATAAATCGCATTTTAAAAGGCATAGACAGACAAACTTATGATAACCGTGATACTTTAATAGGTATATTTATTGTGATCTTATGAGGACTTCGCACCTTATTTGTCCAGTTTTGTACAAAATAATAAAATATAATATTAGTATTATATATTTTGAATAGCTTTGTATATTTTATGTAAAAATTGTCTTATTTTATAACAATTTTGTTTATTTATAAAAAATAAATATGTTTAAATATTTATCCATTTATTTTGTTCTGAACGAATTACGACATTAATTATCCGAAGTCTAAACTTCCGAGATCATTTGTTTCAAACTTTCAAATGTATCAATTAAGTAATATTTATATATCGATAACAGTAGGTAATCGATTGAATGCGATAATCGATTAAACGCGATAATCGATTAATCGATATTATTTTCGATAATTGTTAAAGAGAATCACTCGCTGCGCTAGTGTGGCACTAATTTTATGGTATCAGAAATACGATAAAGTCGGCGTTCTATTTTATCTATTTTCTATGGCTTAGATCATGAAGGCATCCAATTAATATTATTTTTTTTAACCTAGGTAGTGATAAGAAAGTTACAATTAAAACTAAAAGAGATGTCACCAGCAATAGTTTACCTCAAACAGAGAATCCATTTTAAAATAAAATGTACAGTTTAACTGGTAAGTTATAGTTTATGTTTCATTTAAAATGTTATATCCATAAAGCATCAAAGTGTTTTAATAGTTTTTCTATTACAGGAAGTAATAAAATTGATACAATCAAAATGGATGTATTTACAAGCAAAGATTTACCTCTTACCTACCCAGGAAATCCTACAGTATGTAGCTCAACTAGTAAGTTACACTTTATATTTTATATACATTCTTCATACATTTCAAAGTCATTGTTTATTATTTGTTTATCACCTATACCTACTATATGTTATATTTTTTTGAAGTTCAAATAAGATTATTATGATATAATTTTTTTGTACTATATTAACAAGGTAACATAAATTACTATCAGGGGTTAAAGTGGGAAAAAATTCCAAAGGGGACTAATGTCTCCACATAGTTTTAAGCGTTCCATATATAAATTTATGTATAATGTCAACTGTATAAAATCCTAATTTGTTAAAGGGGACGCTTTTTAATCGCCGTCAGAGGTAGGGGGACTGAGTCCTCCTGCGTCCCCCACTTTAACCCCGGATTACTATACATATAACTATTATATTATATTTTATTATATTACTATGTATAATATATATATATGTATATATGAATATATTAATTTTTGTTCATTAAAAATAAATATATTATTTGAATTATGTAGAAACTTCATCAATATCAACTACATTGGATGACTCTTTTCTTGATGCTGATTATGTTCCACCAGGTGAAAAAAAGAAATTTGAAGAATCTAGTTTTGATATTAGTCTTCCAAATCATGAAGCAGTCAATTTAATAGATAATCTTTGTGATACAGGTAATATTTTGTTTTATTTTATTTAAAAAAAAATTAAACTAAATTATTTATTTATTATTTAGTTTGTCTAGAATTGCAAAACAATGCTGAAAATGCAATGAATTTTGAAGAAGTACATGAATTCATACCAGAAACTAATAGTGACACTGAATTTTCCTTTGAACTTTATACAAAAACTGGAGAGATAAGAAAACGTAAAAAATTCAAAATGAATCTGAATAAGAGAAAACAAATTAAACAAAAGAAAACTGCAACAAAACATCAAGTTCAAGACCCTTGTGATATAAATAAATGTAAAGAAAAATGTAACGCTAATATATGTAGTGAACAGCGGCACATAATTAATAATCAATTTTGGGCTATGGCTGCATTGCAAATAAAACAATTTATTTTAGGTGCCTGTTATACTTCAGCAGTAAAACGAAGAAGAAGTGGAATAAATAATAACAGAAAAAGTAAAACTTATAGTTATTGTTTAACTGACCATAAAGGTGTATCTGTTGCAGTATGTAAATTTTTTTTTTTTTGACAACATTAGGTTTCAAAAGAAACAATGATAAGGTGGTTTCAAATATTCTTAATAAAACACCTACTGGTAACATTACACCTAATACAGAAAAAAGAGGTAAACTGGTGCCTCACAATAAATATAACACAGCGACTTGGTTAGTGAACATATTGAGACATACCATCCAACAATATCTCACTATAGGCGAGAGCATGCTCGCAATACTCGTTATTTACCAAGTGATATAAATGTAAAAATGATGCATCAAGATTTCATTGAAAAATATCCTGACCGCAGCATTTCATATGATTTTTACAGAGGTAAAATAAAGGAAAAAAACATTTCTTTTGCCAATTTAGGACACGAAGAGTGTGAGTCATGTGAGAAATTTAAACTACATGGTCATGATAAAGAGTCAATAGAAGAAGACTGTGATATATGTACTAATTGGAAAATATACGAAGAAAAATTCATGAACGCAAGAAATCTATACAAATTACATGTAAGTGAAAAAGATAATTTTAATGAATGTCTAACGATTTCTGCAGATTTACAGAAAGTAATAATGCTACCAAGAGCAGAAATGTTCAATAAGGTCATTTTTACAACGCGCATAATAGCATATCATGAAATTTTTGTTCCTGTTGGTAAAGTTAGTTCTCATAAACCACTAGCTTGTATATGTCACGAAGGTATTACAGGATAGGGATGGGCAAACATTTTTGAACATCGATGTTCGATGTATCGATACATCGTTTTTTGAAATATCGATGTGTTCGATGTATCGGAAAAAAAAACATCGATGTTTAAAAACATCGACGTTTAAAAACATCGAAACAATTTTTTCCCCTTCAGCCTTTAGGACTAAAATCTGATGCACACCTAGGATGGCTATGAAAAAAAATGGAAAAAAAAAATGGAAAAAATGGAAAAAAAATGAAAAAAATGGGAAAAAAAAAACATCGGACCATAACCTCGATGTTTTTTTCGATGTATCGAAGACTAAACATCGATGGTAAAACATCGGTGTTTTTAAAACATCGATGGTTTTTGCCCATCCCTAATTTCTTTATTACCTTATATGTTTCAATTTTTAGTTTGGATTAAATTTGAAGTTGAAACTTGGAATCGATATTAGTTCTAAAATTGGGCACTTGTTAGCTTTGGAAAAAGGGCTCCTTGAATTTAAGAAATCCAATATTAACTAGTCTACTCTGCATCATTTGTAGCTTCGCAGTTCTTAAATTGTAATATAATTACATATATATTTCAGGAAGAAATAAAGAAGATTTAATAAGTACATTTTATATGTTTTTAAAAACCAAATGGCATATGTCTGCTCTGATTTCTCTAGGTATTCCATGTATTGAAAAAATATTTTTCAACACTATTATTATGTTTTCAGTATTTTTTGACTTTAGTTTTACTAATTCGATCCATTTTGAATAATAGTCCCCAAGCACCATATATGAGTTGTTTTTGTATTCTAAAATATCCCATCCAATTTTTTGAAATGGAAGGTCAGGTTGTTCTTCTATTATCATTGGTTGTTTACAATTTTTGTAACTGAATTTTTCACACACTCTACACTTAGCTATTACATTTTCTATTTCATCATTCATGTTAGGCCAGTAAAATAGCATTCTTGCTCGGACTTTTGTCTTAACTATTCAACTTAATTAAATGTATTACAGGCAAACAAAAAATTGCTAAAAATTCTTTATCAATTTGCCCATAATTACATTCCACCGGTGATAGACTTTTTGAGGCCTAACATATTGGTTTTCCATTTGTTAATAACACACACCCTATACCATTCATGTTACTATCTGTTTGTATCGTACTCTTGAGGTTTGGATTGCAATTTTGTAACACTGGTTCACTTGTTATTATATTTTTTAATTTTCTAATATATTCTGTATGAGTATCATTCCATATGAACTCTGCATTTTTCTTAATTAATTGTCTTAATGGAGATTTCAGCTACATTTGGCATAAAATTACGAAGATAGTTTACTAATCCTAAAAATCTTTGCAAATCTTTTTTATTCTTTGGTTGATCATAATTTTCTATCGCAGTTATTCTACTTTTATCGGGTTGTACTTTACCTTCACTAAATCTGTGTCCTAAATATTTTATTTCATTGAGCATATATTGAAATTTATTTTTGTTGAACTTTATATTATTTGCCCTAGCTCTTTCAAGTAGGTACTTCAATTAATATTTTATTATGTTCTTCTTCTGTTTCAGCATGTATTAATATGTCATCTACATATATAAAAACACCTTTTATATCTTTAAACAATTCTGTATTATATTTCTGAAATACTTCTGCGGCTACTGATATACCAAATGGTAGTCTATTAAACGAATAACACCCGTAAATTGTAGAAAATGTACAATATTCTGAGCTTTTCTTATCCAAAAGTATATGAAAATATCCATCCTTTAAATCTAAGCAACTGAATATTTTCGATCCTCCTAACTCAGCTGATAAATCATTTAATGTTGGTAACGAAAAGTATTCCTTTTTTATAGCCATATTTAAATCCTTTGGATCCAGACATATTCTTATTGATCCATTTGGTTTTTCCACTATTACTATTTTATTTACCCAGCTGGTGGGTTCGTTAATTTTAGATATACAGTAGAAATCACTATAACGAGCATCGCTTAGAACGAGATACTGCTTACAACAAGCAAAACGTTAGGTCCCGGCACGAGCGCATATGATTGTATGTTAAAATATACGTTTACAACGAGTATGGTTATTACGAGTTATCGGCTATAATGAGTAGAATAAAGCTAACTTGACTAACGACCTTCCGGTTACTACGAACAAGTACCTGCAAGATACGAACTATTTTCGTATTTAGGTCGATTAATCATTGACATATTATCTTTAGTTGTGTAGATATGGATTACTTATTAATAATAAACATTATTCTTACAAATTCTGGTGTTTTAAAGTTAATAAAATTACAAATAGCGTCAGTTGTGTGTAGACGTTCCACCATGTCGCGTCGTCAGTTTACGTTGGACGAAAAAATCGGTATAATCGGGCGTTTAGAAAATGGTGAGAAAAACAGCGTAATTTCAAAAGAATTCGGCACCTGTTCGTCGACAATTTCGACCATATGGAAGAACAAGGATAAGTTGAAAAATATGTTTCAAACCACGTCACTTAACGCAAAACGATTGCGCACTGCACAGCATAAGGACCTTGAAGAAGCTGCACTAGTATGGTTCAAACAACAACGGTCATTGAATGTACCTATAAGTGGTCCTATTTTGCAAACAAAAATTGACCAACTGGCTGAAAAAATGAAAATAGAAAATTTCAAATGCTCTGCATCTTGGATTCAGCGTTTCCGACAGCGGCACAACATTGGTTTCGGCAAGATCTCAGGTGAGTCATCTGCAGTTAATACTGATATCTGCTCTAACTGGTTGGCTAACGTTTGGCCGTCCCTTCGAGCAGGTTACTGTGATGATGAAATTTATAATGCCGATGAAGCAGGCCTTTTTTTCAAATTAACTCCTGATAAAACTCTTCGCTTCAAGGGGGAAAAATGCTCGGGTGGAAAATTATCCAAAGACAGAATAACAGTTTTAGTGGCAGCCAACATGACCGGAACTGATAAAAGAAAACTCCTTGTTATTGGAAAATCGAAAAGTCCTAGGTGTTTTAAAGGAGTTTCATCACTTCCCGTATTTTATGAAAATAACACCAAAGCTTGGATGACCTCAGCAATTTTTGAAAAGACTCTTAATTATTGGGATGATGAATTACGCCGTAAGAAAAAAAAATTCTACTGTTGGTGGACAACTGTCCAGCACACCCATCATTGCAGCATTTGAAATTTATTAAACTCGTATTTTTGCCCGCCAACACTACTGCTGTACTTCAACCGATGGACCAGGGAGTTATAAGGAACATTAAAGCTCATTACCGGAATCAGTTGGTACTGAAAATGATTGAGGATATTGAAAATCAAATAGAATCAAAAGTAACTGTTTTGGATGCCATAATAATGCTGGATAAAGCTTGGCGTAATGTAACATCGACCGGGATTGCTAATTGTTTTCGGCATGCAGGTTTTTGTGACGTTACGACCGATACTACACAGCTACAAGCAGACAGTGGATTGATTAATAACATCGACGAAGACTACTTACAGATTGATGACGACCTAATAACGTCAGAAATTCAAACAGATGAAGATATAGTCGACAATGTCATAGCCAACCAACAAGTTGAGCTAGATAATGATACTGATATTGAAGAGCTTGATGATGAGTTTGAAACTGTGCCGTCAATATCCGAAGCTCGTGCTGCATTGAGGACACTAGAAAGATTTTATTACACAAAATATGAAGGTACAGATGCTGAAAGAAAAGCGTTGTCTTTTTTAGAAACATCGATCAACTCTAACACGAAGCAAAGTTCGATCAAAGATTATTTTAAGAAATTAAATAAAAATTAAATCAATTCAAGTTAAATAATAAATTCAATAATAAATGTATAAATAATGTATGTAAATAAAAATTTTTTGTCTAAAATAAAAAAAGTCGGTTTTATTTTTGTATTTCCGCTTTTAATCGGTTTCAACGAATGTTCGTTCTAACCGCATATAACGAGTTACCGGTTATAACGAGAAAAACTAGTTGGCCCTTGAAACTCGTTATAACCGATTTCTACTGTAATTCCAAGTTCAGTTAAACGACTTAGTTCTTCTTTTAACTTTTCTTTCACTTTAATTGGAACTCTGTGTGGAGGTTTTGATATGAGCACATGATTTTTTTTTAATTTAATTGAATATGGTTCCTTAAAACAACATACCCCTCTAAACACATCTCTATATTTATGCATTACTTCAATTTTCTTTATAATTGATTTCTTTAGTTCATTAACTGCTGTTCTGTTCATTAATTTTAGTTTGAGACAGGTTTCTAAGCCTAGGATAGATACTGCATCATTTTTTGCAACAATAAAGTTTTCATGAGACATGATGTTTTTGTTATTTAATACATTTATTTTCAATTTGGTTATGCCTATCACTTCAATATTTGTGCCCCCATAGGCTTCTACATGTATGTTCTTATTATGTAGTTGTATGTCCTCATCTACTGATCTTAAAATTTTGTTATACGTTTTTAATGAAATTATATTCACATCAGACCAAGAGTCTAGTTTAAATTTTATTATTATTTTATCTGCAACTAAAACGTTCTCTACCCAAGTTATATGATTAATTTGTCTATTTTTTTTAGTTATTGAATCACAAAAATACTCATTTTCACTTTCACTAGATGCTTTGTCTTTACCTGTATTAATTTTAAGTTCCCTTACATTGTTTTTATTTAAATTTGTTTTACATACCTGAGCGAAATGATTTTCTTTACCACACCTCAGACATTTTCTTCCTCTTGCTGGACAGCTTTCTGCATCTGTATGACTTTTTCCGCACTTCATACAGTTTATCTTTGAATCCACTGGCATCTGTTTGTATTGATTCTCATAATTTTTTTGAAGTTGATTATCTTCTTTTCCCCATCTTTTATTCTTATCATAATATGTTCTTCTTTGTTGATATTGACCTTTTTTTATATTGTATTGCATCAACACTAATTTCTCTTTCTGCTGGTATTTGTTTAGTTTGTACTTTTCTAATTTCTGCTAGTCTCAAATGTTCTATAGCATCTTGCAAACTTAACTCACTCATTTTTATAAGTATCTCTTGTGTCTCCATATCATTAGTTCCAAGTACCATTTTGTCGCGTATAAGTTCTTCTTTATTTGTAAACTCACAGTTTTGGTCCAAAGTTCTTATTTCTGTTAAGAAATTATCAAATGATTCACCCTCTCTTTGTTTTCTATTATAAAACAGAAATCTGCATGTAAAATATTTTTCTTTGGATTGCAGTATGTTTCAAATAATTTTATTTCATCATCATATGTTCTTGGTTTACTTGTCTTTTCAAATGTATTATACACCTCCAATGCGTATTCGCCAATTAAATTCAGCAAAATTGCCACTTTTCTGTCATCATCATTATAAAATGTATAAAAAAATTATTAAAGTTCGACAGTGTTCTAACTCTGAAACGGTTACGTTAATTAAAAATCGTAAAATCATTAGGTGAGTATATACGGCACATACCTGGTTCGTCCTCGACGAAGGCGTACGGATCTTCATCCACGGCATTTTCGTTAGCTGTAAATTAATACGTTATTATAAAATGTATAAATAAATTCATGAAGATAACACTTACGGTTTTTGGTGCACACCATTAGGGCCTCCTGGTCATCCACAACGACGGGTGTGTAGGTCACGTCTTCTAAAAACCTTACGTGTGTGTTGATCGGCATCATTTGCCTAGTGATGACCTGCTCTTCGACTTCGGGCTCCTCATCTGCAACCTCCGCATAGTCTTGCTTAGGTTTTTCATCTGTAAAATATTGCATCACACATAATACGTTATTTCACAGAAAAGGCCAATAATTAAATCTAAAAGTCATTATACCATCAGCGGGTTGTTTCGGATAATACGCCGAGCGCTCGTGGACCTCCACCAAGCGCTTGACCGGTTTGCATTTTTTCCCTTTGAATTTCAAAACAACTAAAAAAAAACCATATCAATAAGCGATTATAGTTTATGACTAAAACTATTAATCATAATACGTTATTAATTATGTTACCTTTTTCGACGAGCTTTCTCCCGGGTTCCGGTACGGAAGTCTCTAACACTACAAGATTTGAAATTTCTGCGGAAAGATACAACTCAATAATGCATTCGTTAAAAAGAAAAATGTTACCTTTCTCGACGAAGTTTCGGCCGGGTTTCGGTACGGAAGTCTCTAACACTACAAGCTTTTCCATTTCTGCGGAAAGATACAACTCAATAATGCATTTGTTAAAAAGAAAAATGTTACCGTTACCTTTCTCGACGAGGTTTCAGCCGGGTTCCGGTACGGAAGTCTCTAACACTACAAGCTTTGCCATTTCTGCGGAAAGATACAACTCAATAATGCATTCGTTAAAAAGAAAAATGTTACCGTTACCTTTCTCGACGAGGTTTCTCCCGGGTTCCGGTACGGAAGTCTCTAACACTACAAGCTTTGCCATTTCTGTGGAAAGATACAACTCAATAATGCATTCGTTAAAAAGAAAAATGTTACCGTTACCTTTCTCCCGGGTTCCGGTACGGAAGTCTCTAACACTACAAGCTTTGCCATTTCTGCGGAAAGATACAACTCAATAATGCATTCGTTAAAAAGAAAAATGTTACCGTTACCTTTCTCGACGAGGTTTCTCCCGGGTTCCGGTACGGAAGTTTCTAACACTACAATCGGAGTTATAGCCCCTGAAGGGGATGGAAGAGACCCTAATATTTTAATAAAAAGACATAACTCAATAATTCATACTGTAATAATTTATTAAAGACATATTAATAATTAATATATTGAATAACGTGAACATTTGAAAACATTAAAATATAAAATAATAAAATATGCCATAAGTACTGATACAGTTGTTTCTTATTAGGTATTTAATTTTAAATAGGTACGTATTTGCACCACCCATCATGGTGTTTTAAGTTTTACAAAACTTCGCAACTTTTTTTTTATTTCTGTTTTCTGTTTTTTATTTTTATTTTCCTGGTATGTGAATTGCCTCATTCTCATTCTCACGTAATAAATAACAGCAAATGAAATAATATTTTCTCCATGAGTGACACAAGGGAAATTTGTTATGTGCTTTTCATTGATCATATCATCAATTATTAGATCAAAAACGTGAGTTGATGAACAATGTTTCATAAATTTTTTTCAATTTTCTGAATAAAATTGAAAAAAAATATATTTGGATGAATTAATCGCCCTTTGGTTTTCATATTGACCAGTGTCGCAGACAATTGCTGAGAATAAACCTGTGGAGTGGCAAAAGCTGACTTACAAATTGTACAATCATTTATGTACCTACTTCAACAGTTATTTTGATAGGCAACCTGAAATAATTTTAAATCTTTATTTTGTGTATCAATTAAAATTTTTAATATGAATAAAATATGACCTGTTAAATAATAAATTAAACAATCTATAATTTCCGGTTTAGTATAATCATGTTCAACAACATCATTGAATTCCCATTCTTTTTCTTCAATGATATTGTTTAATTTAGTTTTTAAATTTTCAACAAAGTCATATTTTATAGGTTGATAAATATCTTTCAAATCTGTCATAGATATAATTGGTTTTAATGGAGAATCATCATGTACAGTACAATTTCCATTCTTGGGAGGCTTTAAAATGCTGTAAGTAGATAGTAGTTTATACAATTGGAGAAAATTAGGGGTTGAAGGATGATCATTTTGGCCAGCAGCTTGCCGAATTGTTCCAAAAAACATCTAGGTAAGACATAATTTTTATTTAATATTAATGATTATTACAACTTACTTCAAGTTTATCTTGATTAATTTTCCCTGTTAATAGATATTTAAAGTTCCAGCATGACTTTAAATAACCAGAAAGTTCAAGAGTAGATTGAATTGTAATTCTTAGCCCACAAGCAGTGCTATCAGATAAAAATTCTGATTTTTTTACTTCCATCTGTATATTGTTTTTGCCATTCATTCAACTAAACCAAAAATGATTGAAGAAACTGTAAATTTTAAATTTAATTATTTAGGTATGCAAATGTATGTTAATCTAATTTTTGTATGAACATAATAAAATATTTATTTTTACCTGAAAGTCTTTGCCGTTAACTCTTAGTCCTTCAGCACCAAATTTTCTGTTCAGTGCGTCCAAACAATCATTAAACTTTTGACAAAATTCGGATATTGGATCACAATCATTTAAGCCAGGAATATTATATTTTTTATAAAACATTAAGCCATTAGCAACAGAATTACTTAACAACTAAATTATCTATAAAGACAAATCAAAAATCTATGAGTATCGTATATTTATTAAACATTTAAGTACCTACTAAGTATTAATTATTATTTTATTATATAGAAGAATTTAAAAAAAAAAAAATGTATACTTGGGTAGCCAGCCGTACTCTTATTTTATCAGAAACACTAAGATGTACATGGTTTCTGGATAATTTTGGACAATCCCTTAAATTGCCTGGTAATTTGCTATCTTGCTCGTATAAAATACTAATGTGATTCCAACGGATATACTGACCATTAATCTACATAAAGAAAGGTAATAGAATTAATTAATTTCCTTTTTTTATGATTATTATCTAAAATACATACATTGGTACAAAATATAGCTCCCATTGATCATGCAAATTTAACAAATAAACACATATTAATATTAATTAGTTAAAACAAATATTTAAAATAATAACACACAAAGTTACACATTGCTATTTTCTATATTAAGTTATTTAACACCAATGAACAACTACATGCAATTCTATACAGAATAATATATAAAAAACAAAATTCACAGTGCTGTCACAATGTCTTCTTTTACTGGGTTGAAAGACTAGTAAACTAGTATGAAAGACAAAAATAATATTTTAAATAAATAAATATTAGAACTAAACAAAAAACGAGTTTCAGTATATAATTAGATAATACAAACTCACCTTCAATATTTTATCATTGTATAATTTATTTCTGACGTTCTTGGGGAAAAAGGTAACATCATCAAATTATTTAAAAATAAATAATTCTTTCAGTCATAAACTATAATCGCTTATTGATATTGATTTTTTTAGTTGTGTTCAAAGGCCGCAGATCCAAGCCGGTGGTTGTGAAGCGGTTGGTGGAGGTCCACGAGCGCTCGGTGTATTATACAAAACGACCAGCTAAAGGTATAATGACTTTTAAATTTAATTATTGGCCTTTTCTGTGAAATTACGTATTATGTGTGATGCAATATTTTACAGATGGAAAAACGATGCAAGAATATGCGGAGGTTGCAGATGAGGAGCCCGAAGTCCCGCAGGTCATCAGTAGGGAAATGACGCCGATCAACACCCACTTAAGGTTTTTTGAAGACGTTAACCCAACCTACACACCCGTCGTTGTGGATGACCAGGAGGCCCTAATGGTGTGCCCCGAAAACCGTAAGTGTTATTTTCAAGAATTTTTATACATTTTATAATCTTATTAATTTACAGATGATGTCACCGACCCATACAAATACGACGACGAAGAACCGGGTATGTACTGTATATACTCACCTTATGAGTTTACGATATTTATTTAACGTTACCGTTTCAGAGTTGGAATAATTGAAGTGGGTCCCGTCGTCGTCGTCAGTAAACGTACGTGAGTGTTATTATCTTCACTATTTTTTTTGTACAATTTATAATAACGTATTTATTTACAGCTATCAAACTCGAGAAGGACAGAGTCTTTACACCATCGCCCACTCCTCCTGAAGGTGACCAGTGCAACGAGGACGAACCAGGTGTGTGCCGTTTATAATCACCTAACGAGTTTCCGATTTTTATTTAACGTTACCATTTCAGACATAGAAAACTGGAAACTCATCCCGGGCACGTCAGGACAAAATTGGTCTCTGCTGCCGAAAAAGTCACGTAACGAACGTATACGCACGTATACGCACGAAACCACAGCGGGTAGCGTATAAACTATCGATTTTTTCGTCGTTGTTTCAGTTAACCAAATACTGTCCGATATGCCCGTACAAGACGGATGACAATAAATTGACGAGGCATATCGGAATAAAACACCGGACCCACGTACGACGACCAGTCGACAAAAACCTCCGGGAGATGGGTAAGATTTTTGGTGCAGAGTCGAGGAGGTCCATCTCGCTGGTGCCAATGTCCAGTGTCAAAGAAATTATGGGTCCGTATTGGGATGACTTATCCTTCCAAAAAATCGCCTTCCAGTAATTATAATTATAGTTCATTACATTTTTTTTTTTTTTTGTGTCGCAAGAGATTTACAAGTGGTTTTTTTTATTCGAAAATCTAGGCTGTGCATCATGGGGTGGATGAAAGTTTACGGGGAGAACTGGGACCTGCCTGAGGCACCTTACGTAGAAAATACGTTCCGGAAGTTCCTGAAGGCCGTAGACGAACAACCACAGAACAGGCGAGAGAAGATACCACCGGCCGTAGACGACCACGAACAGGTGGAACCCGATGGTCAGGCGTCCAGGATCAACGACCCGGATCTACGGCCAGCCCCTGATGCATGTACTTCGTGAGTATCTCGTACCGCTGGCGTACTCCTCGGCCGACGAGAGCCCGACACCATCTCATTTTTCGTTTTGCGCAGGTCCCCCATGAAAGGTTTCCGGAGAGATCTGACGGCGGGAGGGCTACAAGAGAGGCTGCCGGACGACCACCCTCTGCTAAAGTTGCACCTGAACAGTCTGACCCTCAGCCACGGAGGTCATACGGCGGCGCGGCGGTCAAAAACTACCTGGCCAACGTGGCGAGGATTCTCTCTTACGTATCCTCATGGCTCCGTGACAGAAGACAGCCCCCGGTACACGGGTCCGACCTGCTGAGTTGCGCCGTCGACCCGTACGTGGAATACCTGCAAAAGTGAGTGCTGGGCGTATACATCTGGTACGTTATCGGTTTGTTTACAACTTGTATTTGCTTTCCGCAGGAGAGAAGAACTTGTCCAGACCGTGGCCACGTCGGTCAACTACCTGAACAACTTGGTGACGCTGTTCGATATGGCCATTCCCAACTACAGCGTGGAGGATCCGACGTTCCCACGGTCGTTCGACCTGATGCCGTGCCAAAACAAAATCAACTTGATGAAATTGCTATTGGGGAAGATACAATTGCTAAACAAGAGTAAACTGAAGAAACAGCCCCAAGAGTTGTTCGACTGAAAGACCACGGAGGCGGAGGTGCTCCCCGACTACCCGGGCGTCAAAAAGGTGATACAGACGGTGGAGTCGGACGTGCCGGTCTTCTTGTCCTGACTCGAAAAGAGCGTCGCCGGGGACGGCGAAATCGACGTCGCTCCGGTCAAAGGGTCCCCGATTCAGAAAATGGTGAGCCACGAGTCTTAATATTAATACACCGGTCGGTCGACCGCCGCGGTCCGTTATTTTAATTTTTCTCGTTTCTTTGCAGGTGAGCTCTTTCTGGAGAAAAACTACCTGTGGCCTGGCGGTACTGGTCCTGTGGTATTCAAAACACCGCAGCGGGGTCGCCACCAACATGCTCGTCAGCGAGTGGCTGGAAAAGAAGACGAAAGGCGACAAGACCGTGGTGACCGTCGCAAAACATAAGACGGGCGACAAGGAGACGTCGCTCATTGTGCTCGGCGCCGACCTGGCCGCCCTGATGGAGAGGTGAGTTGTAATAGTTGTAACCCCGACCCGACCTGACCTGACCGTGTCCGTGTTCGCAGATACTATGTGCCGGTGCCGTGTGCGAACAAAAATGAATCAATTTTTTATTATAAACACGTGTGGACGAATCGTTAAGATTTACGACGATATAAATAAGATCTACAAGCTGCAGGAAACAAAGAGCCAGCTTTCAGCGTGCGTCTTCCGGAGAATGGTCGAGAGCGAGTCCAGGGGGCACGACAGCGCGACTTGCAGCGGGGTAGCGAAAGCCTTGCAGCACGACCCGGCTACCGCGCTGCGATACTACCAGATGCCGGACGCGAACGAGGTCATTCGAAGGCAGGCGCACATCGACGTCGTCGACCACACGGCGTTGTTTCAGGACAAGGTGTTTGAAGAGTGAGTAAATACATCGAGACCGTGGCGGCGGTGGAACAAGCAGTTCCCGTCACTGACAATGGCCTGAACATCAGCACCGCTGTTTCGGACATTTCTACAGGAGCAACCCAAGCAAGCCCAGCTACCCAGAGCAACGATTCCCCGTGAGTATAATCTTCCGGACCAACCGGCGCGTCCACCCGGCGATTGCCCGACGGTCATCCGATTTCATTATTCATTCATTTTGTTCGCAGATCCGTGAAAAAAATTCGCAAGGGGCTCACCGATGAGGGACTGCAACAGCAGTTGCCGAGTGATCACCCGCTCCTGAAACTACACCGACGAAGCCTTATTTTGAGCCACGGTGCCGATTCCACCGCTTCAAAAAATTACCTGGCAAACGTGGCCAGGGTGCTGTACCACGTGTCGGCGTGGCTCCGTGACCGGAAAACGCCACCTGGCCACTGGTCGGACCTCCTGACGTGCCCAGTCGACCCGTATGTCGACTACTTGGAGAAGTGAGTGCGAGGCGTCGGAAGAATTTTGGGTTTTTTTTATTTCTTCGCAGGAGAGAGAAACTCGGCCAAACTATAGCGACCTCAATAAACTACCTAAAAAACCTCTGCACACTGTTCGACATGGCAATCACCAGTTACTCGATTGAGGATCGGTCTTTCCCAACGACGTTCGAGTTACTGCCATGTCCAACAGTATTGAACGAGATCAAATTTTGAAATCCAAGCTGAACTTGGTATATAAAAACAAGAACAAAATACAACCACAGGAGTTGTTCACTAGAAAAACTAGCGAGGCCGACACTCTGCCGGGGTACGCTGACGTACAGAATGTGATAAAGACGGTTGAGGCGGACGTCCCCGAAGACCTCGATCAACTGAAGGAGAACTTCGGCCTTGACCTGGACGTGTAGATGTGTCCTCTGAAGCTGGGGCGTCGGCAAGACAGAGAATGGTGAGTCACGCTTCGTCGCCAGTCCAGACGGTCCACGAAGAAAACCGCTCACATTGCCATTTGTGGAATAAGTTTTGTGACACATGTCACATTTGTATCTGATTTCAAAGTGTGCCCACTGTTATGTCTTACTTGGGTTTGTTCCTTCGTAGACAATTTTGAGTTGTTACCCTTTGTTGAAGAATTAGTTCGCTCTCTCGAAAGTACTAAAGTACGCTATTGAAACTTATTATTACAGGAATTGAATTTTAACGCAATGAATTAAAATTATATTAATACTTTTATTTTTTAGATAAAACGTAGGTACACACAGTAATCGAGTATAAGACTATTTCACGACTGACTTATGTACTATGCATTATTCGATGGCGACGGACGTCGTCTTACAAAAGTGCTTACCCATCTAAATTCTACGTTACCTATATTATATTACTATAAGAACAAGGGGTTCCTAACACCACCAATGAATTTTAAAACATGATTTTTTGTTTAAAAGCTTTTGGTCTTTCCTTACATTGATCAATGGCGCAAATGTAAGGCCTTATGTTTGAATGCCAAGTGCCAACACATGTTGTGACACTTGAGATTTGATAAATCCCTGTGTCTTGTCTTGCAAATATCACACTGGAAAGGTTTTTCACCAGCGTGAATCAATTTGTTCCTTTTCAGATAGTGCAATAGTCTAAACTTTTTTAATATTCTTGAAGAACAGTATAAAACAGAGTCATCCTACGATACTCAACCTTTATCCTGACTCATGGTCTGCTCAAAATAAAAGTAAATGTATAACTACATTAGATGAACTGCAAAGATACAATAATTCAATAAAATTAAACACATTTTTATTTATTATATTTGGGCAAAACATTATGCATATGTTTCATATGTTTCTGCCTATTCACATTGCCATTTGTGGAATAAATAGAAAAAACATAGTGAAAAAAATATTGAAGTACAAAAATAGTGTCAAATAAATAGTCGAGAGCAAAAGATTCGAACAGTGTATAATGCTTGATCATTTTAAGTTAGTACTGGTAAAACAAATTAAACATTGACATTTTTTTTATATTTTTATTTAACACTGCTTACAGTTTTGCGACACTGGACACTAGTACTGAAAACTATAATTATTATTACGATACGTCTGATTTTATTATTAAAAGTGAAAAATTAATGAAATTAATATCACTATTAAATTATTATATTATTCATAATGGAGTATGGAAGATTATTCAAAATTTAAATGATAATTTTATTTTTATAAATAACAAAACTCGTGTGTCCATAAAGAACTATGTACAATGTTAATGTTTGGCGACTTCACATCATTTAATTATGAGTAAATATTACAAACATAAAATACATTGATATACATAATTGTTTTTAATTGGTGTATATTTTCAGAAATCAAAATCCTGAAATTGGTTTTATGTTAAAAAATATTATCAATTCATTTGTCAGATGTGGCACAATGCATATCGTTTATAAATGTTTTATTTTCTTATATTCAACTGATATAAAAACGCATATAAGCAATAATGACTATATTTATTTTCAAATATTAAATTTTAAATTCAAGGAAATGATAAAAAGCTTAAAAAACCTTCAAAATATTTTAAGTTTCGATATTTATTTACTACCGTAAGTATTTTAGATTCTGAGTGAAACGATGAATGTATTGATTTTACAATGATGTGTGTTTTTTTATTTTTTTTTTAATTTTTTATTTTTTTTTGTGTCTGTCATCACGTTTTAGGACAGTAAAAGTGCTTGGATTTTCTTCATCAGTAGCTTTTCTGATAGGAAAGTGAATCTAGTTGGTACTTTGGGGGGTCAAAAGTATAAATTTCCCAGTAGTTTTCACAAGCGCCGGGAAAAACAACATAAAAATTAAGGAAAAACGGGAATTTTTACGCAAAATTCGTTTTCCAAAAAATCGATTTTGGTTTTTGGTGTAACTCTGAAACAAATGAAAGTATATACATGAAATTTTCACTGGTTGTTTATATTTGCATTTTCTATACACGATAACATTTTCAAAATATTTTGATTTATTTTGAACTGTTTAGGGACATTTTCATTTTCCATTTTTTTTTAGTTTTTTTTCTAAAAATATTAATAAAATTTTATTTGTTGGTTGCGAAAGCTTGAAAATTTAATAGAAGGCTCCTAATATATTGTTTCAAAGGCAGATGAAAAATATTAAAAATCCTTAGTCACAATTTTTTTTTATAAGCATTTAAAATTCAAAAATTGACAAAATATGGGAAAATCACGAAAATTAGCAAATTATTTAGAGTTAAGAATTCGTAAAAATTTTTCTTTTTAAATCTAAGATTTGAAAATTAAACACAAGATTCCTTATAAGTTTGTCTACCTTTATCAAAAGAAAAATGTCTATAAGAAAGTCAAATTAAATTTTTATGAGCGTTTGAAATTCAAATTTTTACAACATTGAATATTCACTCGATTTCCCATGTAACGATTTCCTTATTTTGTTGTAATTCAAAAACAAATAACTGTAGATACATGAAAATTTCACTGAATGTTTATACTAGCATTTCCTATACACCATACAATTTTGAAAATATTTTGACTCTTTTTGAGCTGTTTATGGACCTTTACAGCTTTCAATTCTTTTTAGTTTTTTTTTCTATAAATATCAATAAAGTTTTATCTGTTGGGCCAAAAAGTGTAAAAATTTAATACAAGGCTCCTGATATATTGTTACAATATCAGTTGAAAAATATTAAAAATACATAGGCACAGTTTTTTTTTATAAGCATTTAAAGATCAAATTTTGACAAAATTTATCAAAATCTCGAAAATTATCAATCATTGTAATTAATAAATTATAAAATGTTCAGTTTTTATAGCTAAGGATTGCAAATTCAACACAAAGGTTCCCGTAAATAGTTCAAACTGTAACCAAAAAATCTAAAAAATATATGAACACAGTTATTTTTAACAGACATTTTAAATTCAAATTTGGACGAAATTACATATTATAAAACCTAGAATAACTATTTTAGTTATTTTGTTGTGATTGAATAATATTTTTCGTGGATACTTGAAACTTCTAAAGTGTACTATTATATATCTATGATAGTATCACGGTTTTTGTTGATGTATAACGCGTTATAAGTACCTAATGGATATTTTGATATGATTAATTTGGAATTTATTATAGGTACCCATTATAGGTCAATTTTTTGTTTAATACCATAGATATGTATATAATACCTATGTCTTATACATAGACTGACATACCGTCTCCACTCAGAATCGTTTTTCTTATACAATGATATTATATCGTTGAATTCAAATTTAATATCATCCATTATACAGTTACCCCCTTGTAACCTACTGTACAGCAGAGCGACACCCACTTGCCCACCTTTTTTTTTTTTTTGCCAATTTATAATATATTTTTTGGTATAATATGTTTCTTAATTTACAGAGGAGGAACAAACCAAAGTAAAAATTTGCTACAAATTCAAATTGATGATGATAAAACGTATAAATATATAATTAACAATGAGTGGGATATTAAACAGTATGATATAATTGATATGTTTGTTATTGCCACGGTGAAAATGCAAAATGACCACACGTCACCAAATATACGATTTTCAACGGTAAACAGTGCTCCTAAAAAAAAAAAATTGCAAAATATAGAAAACATATACTTAAGCTTCGTTTTTTTTCAGATTACACATTTATTCAATTCCTTCATATTATTGACAAGTATTATGCATTTCACGTTTCCTACATCAGATTTGAAACGTGATTTTAAAAATCATATAATATCGTTGACAAACAAAAACATTTTATTTAGAGTTAAACCAAACAAAAAACATGCCTTTTCATATTTCATCGACTATGACAATGAATTTATAAATGATGCAATAAAAAACTCACAAATTTTAAATCATATTCTCAAATTGACACCATTTTATTCTATATAGAACATCTCCATTTACAAACAACCCTATTCAATAATCATCTAAAATTAACATCATCCTCACCGTCTTCAATCAACACCACAAAAATTAAAGAACAAATTTCAGAAATGACAATAATTACACAGAACATATTAAAAACAGAATTTCATATATCAGATCCATTAATATTCATTCATGGTTATGAATCAAGAATTTTTGGCCGCCAGCTATAGTAACCTGTGAGGAATTCTCATGGCCTTAAAGACCGCCGGCTGCCGCATTTGTAATGTTCTTTTGTATAGGAATACAAATGCAAAGATAATCTAATAGGTTTTATAATACATCGTACATAATTCATAACAAATAATCAACCTTGTTTTATTTATGTTAAAATAAAATAAAAAAAGGTAGAATTTTAATTTAAAATATAATAAAAACAAAAACAATCAAAACTGTAAAAAACCATGTTCTAAATTAATAAAAATAATTAAGATTTTAACATCAAAAGTAATAACATTAACATTTCAATTTGTTACTTATTAATAATTTAATAAAATATTAACAATCAAACATAATACAGCCTGCTTTTTCTTTGCACAACGGCATAATATTATTATATTATAACACTATATAAAATTATATTTTGAATTATTATTGCATCATTACTTAAAATATTTACTTATCGTTCTTCACTTTCTTCATCTTCATTTTCAATAAATGGAAAACCATCATCATCATTTCTATCTGTTTTGAGATCAAAATAAAACTGATATTTTATGGGGGGTATAAATGGAAGTAATTCAATTAAATCTTTTTTTTTTAATTGACTTATAGTGTGCCCATTTAGATATAAAAGATCTAAATTTTCTGTATAGTTTTGAATTTTAGAGTTTCTTTTACCAATATAGTTACAGTAAAAAGGATAATCTGTGTCATTAGAATACTTGTAATCTAAGTTAAATGGCTGTTCTTTTTTGTAATTTAGCCATTGAATTTTTAACCATTGTACTTTCTC